TATTTTTAAAGTAAAATAAATGAAGTTCCGAATTGAAAGCCCGGGCGCAGCGTCTACAAAAGACAATTATCAATTACAACATTCCGTGTTTATTTCACTTGGCACCCTCTATAGTCTCATCTATTAAAAAAACATGAATTTTTTTAAACTTTAGTCACTAACACTAATTCGCTTAAGGAATACTTTTTACAAGTTTTTGCGCTTGCACTAGAAATATTTTTGTAGAAAAAATAGGCTCATTATCGTATGCACACACATATATATACTGTATATACCTACATATGTATATATATAATATACATAGATATATTCGTATGAACTAAATGGAAATTGCAACAACATCGAATCCCAGACTGCGTTATACATTATACTAGTTTGAACAATTACAACAAATATGTTTATCGCATACGGACACAAAAGGCTTTGGCTTTGGCTATAAACAATCGCTTAATGCTGCTACTGGTGCTGCTGCTGATGTTTGGCCTGGCCAATTGATTAATTACACTTCTAATTATAATCATTAATTCAGTAAGCATTCGTTTTTCAACAAAATATTTTTAACTTGATCGCCTCACTCGATCTGAGCGCCTATGTACAGGGAGGTAAAAGTGGCGTCAGTTCTAGCTGATTGTACTGCAACTGGAGACGCTCACGTTGAGTGGATTGTTGGCGCTGCTGACGGCAATGGATGACCTTTAAATGAAACAAAAAACAAATAAATTAGCAAATTTTGAAACCGTATAAAACGAGCATCGCTTCCACCCTTACCGATTGTGACGCATGTGACTCTTGACTAGATCGCTGTTGACCAGCGCCGCCATTAAGCTCAGCTCGCCGGCCATCACGGTGGCGCAAACGATTTGTGCTAGCTTGCGGGCATTGTCGCCGGGATGGGTGGGATGGGCCCCACGCACGCCCAACAAATCGAGGCAGGCGCCCTGTCCTGGCAGTCCAGTACCCCCGCCAACGGTGCCCACTTCCAGCGAGGGCATAGTGCAGGTCATATAAAGGTCTTCATTATTCTCGTTCCAGCACTCCATAGCCGTGGAGCAATTGCTGGATGTGACATTCTGTGCGGGATCCTGGCCGGTGGCTAAGAACACTGCGGTCACCATGTTGGCCGCATGTGCATTATTGCCACCAATGCTGCCTGCCATAGCGCTGCCCGACATGTTTTTCAGCTTGTTGCACTCCACCAGAGTCTTGGCGTCCGTTTTCAGAACTGAACGCAATGTGGCWGCCGAAATGGTGCACTCGGTGACAACACGCTTGCCACGTCCCTTTATCCAATTGATTGCTGCGGGCTTTTTGTCGCAGCAAAAGTTGCCGCTCAACGAAATGATCTGCATGTCGGGAAATTGACGCTTGATGCAGCGCAGGGCCATCTCCGCACCCTTGGACACCATGTTCATGCCCATGGCATCGCCTGTCAGAGCCACAAAACGTATATAAAGCTGGGGTCCATCCATAGCTATATGACATTCCTTCAAGCGACCAAAGCGGGACGTAGAATCGAACTCAGTTTTGACCACTTCGTAGTTTTCGGGGCTCTCGATCCACTTCTTGGCTTCGGAGGCTCGGGCGACACTGGGAAAACGTACACAGGGTGCACGCGTCATGCCGACATCTTCCACCACAGAGCGAACGCCGCGCACAGAAAGTGCCTTGCAGCCCCGATTCGTGGATGCCACCAATGCACCCTCCGTTGTGGCCATGGGCACATAGTAGGTCTCTCCATCCAGCAGCAATGGACCCGCATAGCCAACCGGTATCGGCACATAGCCTAGGACATTCTCGCAACAGGCATTCATCACTTTGCTATAGTCAAAATGTTCATAGGGCAACACTTCCAGGCGTGRCATTGGCAACTTGGCTCGYTCAGCAATTAACTGACGACGAATGCGTATGCCACGSACTGCATCATCCAACACTGACTCAATCTTGTAGAGCGGGCAGTGAGATCCACTAGCTTTAATAATGGCTATGATTTCTTCATCACTTAAAACGCTGGCGCCGCTAACGCCATCCGATTCGTCGGTGGAATTTAATAATTTCAGGCATTCCTGCAGTGGACGTGGTGGGCGGACTGGTGGTGTAAGACGCTGTCGCACGGATACCACGTCGGTCTGAGTAGCTGCATTTCTCGAGCTGTGCTCCTCAATACTGAACAGGGGCGTGTGGCTTGGGGTCGGCTTTGGCTCCTCCTCCAGTGGAGTAGTCTGTGAGGCCTTTGCTGTGGTCGATTGATGCAGCTGATTCGGCAAAGTGTCCCGATGGTCAAAGAAGATAAGCTTGATGACAAGAGCAATCAAGACTATGAAAATGACAATGTGATCTGCGCTCATTGTTAGCCATCTGCAAAAATAAGAGGAGGTCAATCATATGGTTGACATGGTTATATTTCCATGTTGAGTACATACTTGATAATAATATCAGTTATTTCGCCAGAGTCTGTGCGATTGTTGTTAACATTCAGATTCAGCGGTGGGGAAAGTGTCTTTTCCACAGCATCGTAGTCACTGCTGTTGAACACAACCCGACTGTAGATGTGCACAATCATCAGGCCGGTGGTCATGATGAGCTTGACGCGCTGCAGCACTGGATTAGCCTTCTGTTCCTCCTCGGTGAGAGATTTGAGCAGCAATGAGCCCTTGGCGCGCTCTCGCACGGCTGAAATGTCAACGCCATTGCGCGACAGATCAAATATAAGCGAAAGGCAGGCCGGGTARAAGGTCATAAAGACCACATAGTTGACGAGCACCGACAGTACGGCAAACATGCACAGCACCTCCAGTCGTTGCACACCCGACAACGTGCCCACGCCCACCAGCAGCACCTCCACAATGGTATCTAGTGAAATGGTTGGACCCAACAGCTCCAAGCCTCGTGCTATATTCTGTGTGACCTCTGCCTGGTTGCTCCCTGAGAGCGCCAACTGTGCCAATCGACCCGAGTTCGATAAATCGATAACCAAAAGCAGCACGAAAAGCGCATCCCTACAATTAATTACATACAGTTAATAAATCAGATTCATTCAACTGCGATTACTCACTTGAGATCCGATATATCGCTGCCCAAAAACTTGATGATGGCTGTGGTGAATATGAAGCTGGAAAAGAATGTAAAGAGACCGGCGATACCTGCAAATAGACACAAAAGCAAACAATCAACAGAGCACACTTAAATTTAGAGTTCTAGCCGGGTTCGACAACTCCAATTGGTGGCARAGGTCGTATYACTTAGTGRCAGCGTGAGAAATACCGCCAAAATACAACAAAAATAAAAAGGCAGCTAAAAAATTGRCCAAACATACATATCTCAAAATAGGGGCCGTCCAGACAAACAAAGCATATTCTTCAGACAGAAGCTAATCGTTTGTATCAACACACGCACCCATAAAGTCCAACAGCCATGACGCAATCCAATC